ATTCGTCTTTCAAGAAAGCAAAACACCACATGAAGATGATCTACAATTCCAACATAGTTATTTCCCATTTGGTGATATCAACAAGTTTTTTCCGCTATAGGATTTTGGATACCAGAAAAAAGTGCATAAATAAACCTTTGTGCTGTGCAATGAGTATTGACGTAAAAGTCTACCTTGAAAGTTTCAACTCTCTAAAATTTCTCAGATAAAATTTTATTTTATTTTTTCTAATAATGCACTTGAGTATTTCAATCATATAATCGACCAAGAAAGAATATCCTTATCGTATGTTCCTGAAAAGGAAGTATCTCTTAAATTCGCTCGAGAGTGACATTCGTTAAAAACAAAAAATCTTTTCGATATCATCTGCAAATATCGATTGAATTTCTCACTTTGTAAGTTTCTTCATTTTCTTACTTTGAATGAATAGATGTACTGTTGTATTTGGCAGTCTTATTTTGATTGTTTTGCGTTTCTCAAAAGAAAAAGAACAGAAATCTAGCGAATGATAAGAATTATTTACAAAAAACACATGATAATTTGAGAAAGGAAAGAACACCACTTTATCAAATAGATGATTACATGCAAGTTTCATGTTGATGTTCGTCAAATATTTATTTATTATAAACGTGGAAGATATGAGTCAAAGTAAAAGAAAATATGTTATCCTCTGATCAAATAAAGAAAACATAAGAGTATTGTTGTAGGTAGTCAACATGATAAAACAAATAGTGAAGTTCTCATTCTTTTTCATGTATAATTAGCTTCTCGAAAAACTACCCTAGTCTCATTTTTTCTTTGTATTGCAATAAAAAGTAATAGGTTCATTATTGTTGGCAGATGAGTTGTTTGAATGTAAGTATGAAGAGAAAGCCTAAACCAATATCGATACATTCTCTGCCACACCAACACTCTTGTACAAAATGAAATCTTCTGTTATTTATGCCTAACTTATGATTAGTGAGACACAATTCTATTTTATATGATTTCATCTCTTGTCACACCTTTATTATTTTTTTACTTAATCTATTGTACGATAAACTAGGTGAGTCTTCCGATTTTTAGAATCATTTTTGATCAATTGAAATTCCATGCTTTTCATATATATCTTTCAATGTTTACACATCAATCAAACAATTATTCCAATGTTAGAAATTATACAAAAGTCAAAGAAGAATTATGACTAAAAAAATCAAATTTATTTTCTAAATCATTCTCATTCATTAATAAAAGTATGTATACCAAAACCTAAGCATTGAGATGTAAATAAAAGCAAAATGAAAATCTGACGAACACGTTGAAAAACATTGAAAAAAAAATGCAATTGGTGACATCCAAACTATAAATAAAAACAAAATCATCTGTTTTAAACTGCGTGTTTGAGATCATTTGAAAATAAACAAACATATCAGTTAAAGAAAAAATTTGTCATAGAAATGGACTATCAATATCAACAGGTTGAAGATATGTAATATATTGTATTACATTATTTGAAACTTTATTATATGTGAGATAAAGTGACAAAAGAAGTCGATATAAAGTTGTTTGATTTCTTGTAAGAAGATTATTAATTCGACAATATTGTTCAATATCAATCTCAGCTAAAATAAGAACTTATTAAAACTATTGTTTTATCTAACTGATAATTCGCTTTTGAGTCGTCGAAACTATATGCATTATGAAGCACAGATATTCATTGTGGTTGGAAATATACAACTGGCACGCCACAGTCCTAAAAGAAAAAAGACTATTGCACTGCTACCACGATAGTTTTCGGGAAATTCTTCAAAAATCTGTTTCGCCACTCCTAATTAGCATAGGCCGATTGAGTCTATCATATTCATCACGATTCTGATTGTTGGACTTGCAGACACTCAAATTCGTTGCCAACTCATGCAAATTTAGAATCTACAGAAACAGAAAGCTGGCAGGATGCCGCTGTGACGGCGAAGCCCCCATGGAATTCTCGGTTATGTAGCTTCAAATGAACTATGAATACTTTGAGAAGAGTTCAAACCTTTAGCTTATTACTGCAAAAAGACTGCATTTTTACAGTATCATTTAAATAAATGCCGTGAGTCACCTCAACAACACTAGAGGGTATGGGTGTAGGTGTGATTGTGGACATGGGTATGGCTGGATGTAGATCTACATTCTCTTTCACATCCGCATTCGATACCCATACGTACACGCTTCTTAGCCGGATGAAGTACGTATAAAATAAATTATAGGAAAGCTTTTTTCTTTATAACGCAATGTAGGGAGTGACGACTCTTATCTGAAGAACACAGCCTTATGAAGACTATGCGATACTAATAAAACTCAGATAACACTTTTGCTTCGTGATATAATGCGCTAGAGGTGCTTCACGCACAAACATAAAGTGGGGAATGATTTATTTTAATTTTCAAAAAAAACCAAAAAAAACGGACGCAACTAGAATGATTGCTTCACTGTTTACTGACATAGTAGTTTTGCTGGCTGCAGTTGATTTGGATCAAGCTCTTCAACGCCTTTTTAACTATTCGTATCGCTCGTATGCATTTGGTGAGCCTTTGGTCATCGCCAATGGCCAATGCCAACGAATTAAAAAATCTAAATGCTATCTCAGTGTACATCTTAGATACGATGACAGAACTTACTTTGTGTGGACTGACGATGAGAACACAGAATCAAACGATGTTATAAACATTCACAGAAGGCTTTTCTTATCGTTAGTTTACAGTATTAGCTATCAGTGTGATAAGGGAGACGTTTGTGCAGGTGTGGATATGGAGTGTGAGGTTGTTGTGAGTGGATGTACGTGGTGTTTATGGGTGTGGGTCTGAATCGTTTTGATCAACACGCACATCCATGCTTACATCCCTAGAAAGGAAATTGTTATGTGACTATTTTTGTCTGTGTTTCTGGTCAGACTCTTTGTTTAGAACAAAAGAAAAGATGCAGTTAATATAGCGAATGCATGACATACATCAAACTCCACCTTAAGAATAAGAGAAACAGCAATCCATCACACTTAGGGTGTGGGGCGTGGGTGTGAGTCTTGCTTTCACCCACACCCCACACCGCACGCCCACCCATACCCTCAATATGAACTTTAAGTAATTTGAGGTAGTTTGGAATAACTTCAAGTCATTTCACCAACTGATTCCAAGTGCTTTTATTGATTTTCAATAACTCTAATGCGACAGTATCGACTTTATTTCCTCTAAGACCTATGACAATTTGTTATTTGCTTTTTGATTCATCGTTGATGAATATTTGTCTATGTTTCTTACAATACAATCTTTACAAAAATATATATTTTATATGCTAAAAATCATTATAGAACATTTGATCAGAGTTTTTCACAGTCTCAAATATACCTATATAAATTAGTAACAATCATTGATGAAATTAGATATATCTGTTTGTCTGCATAAATAATAACTTTGACAATACTCTATAGACTCTATCTGTTAATACTCAGTCTCAAATGACTTAAACGTAAAACTAAATGAAATAAAATTTTATTTTGAAAATTTAAAATATAGATATTTTCTAGATACTAGCATATATTTATCAGAATGTCAGATATTTTTAATATCTTATTCATCATTTGCCATCGATGTATTTAATTATTAATAAACAACGATTATTTAAAAATTTTTCAACACTTGACCATAAATATAAAATCAATGAAGATAAACAAGTAATAAATAATGCTTTTTTTTCTGATAAAAAAATTTATATTTAATATATGGACCATTCAGGCAAAATGGGACGTACCCACCTTTAATTTAACTTTGATTCTTTATAAAGATTATTTTTCTGAATGACTTCTTTCAGAATAGACAGATGTAAAAATGTTAACTCTTTCAACTGACTATTAATCAAAAAGTAAATGGATTCTTGTTTTTTAAATTTAGACATGCTCAGAAAAAAAACTTCAGAGAGAGATATATAGCTTCAGATATTGCCTACAGAATTTATTATTTAGTTTTCACTAATGTTATCTTCAGTCGGAGTTTTTTTTTAAACTAAAATGCATGAAGTGAAAGTCGATATCTTTCTTGTATAACACCATTCACACTGTTTTTTTTACTGATAGTATCTCTCAAGAGAGATATCTAGTGTTGAGTTCTTTTTTTAAAATTATCTAGAGTAACTTAACATACATGTAAAATATAAAAATTATCTCTTATGAAATTCTTTATCTCGAGATATACGTGTTTTAACTTTGCAAAGTCACATGACTAATAAATGATTTTGCTCATGTATTAGATTGATTTGAATGATCTTTTATTGGAAACAGAAATATTACAAAATGAATTTTATAATATATTATTAATCATATCTTTATCAGATGATAATAAAAAACAATTATTATCTGTTAAATTGCAAAATTATTTATCAACTTTTATTGAAATTAATTTATATTTTAAAAAATTTGATCAATATTTATCAATAATAACTTGTTTATCTAATAAATCATCAATAATAATATCATCTTCATTTTTTTCAAATAATGATATTAATAAGGGTGTGTGGGTGTGGATCTTCTTTTCGGCCTCTCACATTCACACCCACACCCTGAAACAATCTGATAATGATGATGATTCACTGTTAATTGGTTATTGTATAAGGAAATGTGAAGAACGACGAGCTGTATCATTGAATGAAATTTGTCTGATGATTATTAAAGAGAGAAAAAATAATTCTTAATAAATTAATTCATAGTGTTAAATATTGTTTTCGTGTTCTTGCAGAAAATAAATATTGTCGATGAGAGCCATGTGAAACTATTGAACCAATACTTACTAAGAGTTCTTTTGGTAACATTTTATTTTAGAAAAATTTAAATATTTTTTTAGATTTATCAATTATAAACAGAAAGATAAACCATGTCGTTGAATGATAGTTATCGAAGCAGACAAGAATTTTCAAAAACATGATTAAACACCCTAATTGCAGTTTTCCTTTCAATTTAAACGATGGGTAAAGATAGTTAAAAGAAGACAACTTTTGCATTTGGAAAACGTTCAAAAGATTTTCTCTCAATATGTTTGATATATATCATTCATAAAAAAAGTCATTTTTTTCTGCAAATCCATCAAAGTATTTCTGAAAAAAAAATGTTTGCATGGTACCTGGACATGAAAACATTCAAACAGCAACTGCATTTAGGACGTCTAAACACGTTTTGAAAAATTCTTGTCTACTTGGAAAATTTCCTTAAACATTGGAAAATAATGTTAAAGAATATCAAAACTCATTGTAATAATTAAAATCTTCTTTCGAAACTTGAGTTTTGAATTGAAATTCAGCGTTTACACTTTGATTTACATGTAAAAATTGACTTAATTTATCTACTGTTGAAAATTTCCAATGTTTTATACTTCTACAAAGCAAAAAAAAAACTTCAAAATAATATAATGAAATGCATAATATTCCTTGATGAAGTTTCTTTGTTGTTTCATTGTCTATGTCGATTAAGAAAGAAATTCTAAAATTTAATTTCTAGATCATCCATGTACACCAGAAGCTGCAATTGTTGATGCAATATTTAAAAAAAAAACATGTTGCATTCAACAGATAGTTCCATGCAGTGATAGTCGAACACCATTAACAGGTTATTTTATGGAAAGTCGTTTACAGTGAAGTTCAAGTTGATCAATCAGAACCAAAAGCTTCATCAATAATTATTGTTGCTAAAAATTCATTCCCTATATCATATAATTTTTCAAAAAACTAAAAAAAAAGAAAATAATAATTGTTTAGGTAAACCACGTGCACCTGATGTAATCAATAATGAATGGATTACTGAATTAAATTGATAACCACCAATTGAAGATGACGGTTCACCAATAGCAGGTTATGTGATTGAACGACGAACTGCTTGAAATTATAAATTACATGTAAGTTAAAAAAACTTTTTTTTCCTTTTATCTTACCTTTGTTTGTTTTTCGTGTTCTTTTAAGGCTTCAACTGAACCAATTGAAAACAAAGTAATAAAGATACATTTATTAAATATAGGACATAAATATAAATGTCATATTCGAGTTCAAAATTTGACTGACCTTGGTGAACTATCGAATTCTACTAAAGAAACTAAAATACGAAAATCATTTATTCGTGAAAAATCAAGATTTATTCAAGAACTTGAACTTATGGCAATCATTAATAGATGACCTGTTATATTAACTGCTCGTATTAAACATGATCCCACATCTGAATTTAAATAGTAAGTATAGTAAAATATAATAGTCATTTTTGAATAATTATAAAATCTTTGGTTGAAAAATGATCATTCAATTGTACAATATAATCATACACAATTAGATTACCAATCAATATTGCTATTCATTACGTTTTATATATTTCTTGTGAAGTTGCTGTATACTTGTTTATTATATTTGAAAAATCATTCTTTAACGATGTGTTCTTTATTCATTTTATTGTTTAGTTAATTGCTGTCAACATGTTCGTTTTTGTTAGCTTTTCGTATGTTATCCTAAATCTCCTGCACACGTTCTATTCGTAAGCGGGAAGATAACTACAGAAAAGTGTCTGGTCTGTATATAGTTCCGAGATATCACACGTAAAAGGAAAACTGCCTACCTGAATAATATATCCAGCAATAAGGAAAATGATAGTTGAGATGTAGGTAGTTTAGAGTTTATTGATGATAAGGAAAAAGACAAGATCATAGAAATAGGAGTAATAATAAAAGAGAGGAAAAATAACGTTTATAATAGGTGAGGGGACGAGAGAGAAAAGAGATGTTGTTCAGAAGGATGAATGATAACAACAAGATAATCAACTGACTAGTAATGATAACTAATGAAAGCATATATATAGAAGAGAGAGAGAGAAAAAAAATAAACGACAGGAAGACAAATTATATATGGAAGGAAGGACAAAACAAAATGACCAAAGAACAGTGACTAAATTAGTTAGCGGCAACATAGTGTCATCTGTTGACGCTAACAGTTTTGATACAGTATTTCCTAATTGTCATGATTGTTTTCAACCACGAATATCAACTAAAACAACTACACAAACTGTAATGCCTCTTTCAACAATAAATAATGAAACTGTCGCAATTGCCGATGAAGATACTAATCTTTCACGTATTTGTTTTAAAGAAAAGGAAGAATGTAGACCATCTGATTCACAATCAAATACAAGTGAGTGATCTATGATTGAAATTACAAAACAAAAGATTCCAGAATAGAATTACTCTTTTTCTTTCTCTATTGTTGTATATTCAATATGAAAACAAAACATGTTCAACACGATGTTTGATTATTTTTAATGGGTAAAATGTTCATAAATACGATTGAAGATTAACAAAAGGATAAAATTCAAATGTTTAAACTTTTTTCATTCCATACAAATTCTTCTAAAGAGTTAAACGCATAATTTTAATTTCTACTTATAACTAATTTTGTAAGTTAGAAAAATGTGTTTCGTAGAACAAATAAAAACAATTGGTCTTAAAATCTTGATTGTTTCTAGACGTTATATTCATTTGTCTTTGATTTCAAGTATTCAAGAAGTCTTTTTTTCTTATCCCGTAACTTATAAAAGAATGTTTACAAGACATTGAAAATTTTTATACAAATATTATTTTCCATATTTTATTCTCAATGTATCTTAAATATCTTGTCAATGTTCACTTATGTTATCCAATGTTGTTTTGTACTTTGTTTAATTCGATCATCACTTACAATACTTTCAGACAATTCTACATTATCTTCATCACCTATGCGTATTTGTATCGTAGGCAGTGGTCCATTTGGTTTTTATTTAACACAAAATTTACCTATGCTTCATTACACAATACGGGGAATAGAGTTGAAAGCGGACAGTTTTTTCTGTCCAGTCCAGTTCAGCCAGCAATCGGCCAGATGAGTTTTACCGTCAAACCGATCAAAATCCAGCGAAAATAATTGATTACAAAAGTACCTGTTTATATAAAATGGTGGTGAAGAGGAATCAAAAAAGAAAACAACAGTAAGTTCATAATAAACCGAACACAAAAATGTAAATATTTGTCTTTCTTGATTTAGGCAGCTGCCTAAATAGAAGAAGGAAATGAATTATTTGATTTAGATTGAACTGAACGACATACGAGAAAGAAATCGATAGAGGTATAAAGAAAACAATTAATCATTTATAGTCAAGCCAAAGACAAGATATCTATCGAGTCTTTCACAACTGAACTAGGCAACATCTTGTTAATGTAACCCTCTTTGAGAACCACCAACACTGTTCACAATCGGCAATAGAGACACCAGAAGGAAGTAATGATCAGAACAATGATTTTTCAGTGGGTGCAAATGAGTAATAACTAATTGAACGACGAGTGTAAAGAAGGAGGAGGCTGTGCTTTTTTTTCTTTTTTCTTTTTCTTTTATCTTACCCTTCTCCAATTAAAACTGCAATCTCATTACGATCAAAAGTAACTGTCATTAAGATCAAAGCACTGCATATCCTCTTACTTGCACCAACGTCACTGCCGCGCGTCTCTACGTCGTTCCATTTATCGTTATGATATGTTTTCTCGACATATTGTTTGTGTTTATATAGAAACTCCTAGTCGATATTTTCTATATCCATTGATCATAGACTGACCAATTTCGAGAAGTCTAACGAAAAATCCATATGTTCAACACCATTAATTAATTTTTCACACTTATCACATTGATCACTACGGGTATCAACAAATTTGCATGTTACATCTGAACATGTACTAGCTACATAACGATCTGTAAAAAAACTTCAAATACATCAATATATAAAAAATTAGGAAAAAGTATGCAAGCAAATTCTATACCGTTGATATGTGTCATAATATAATTGTTCGATGTTATTATTAAAAATGAGATTTCGTTTATATAATTTTGAAAAATATCCTGAGCGATTCTAAAATAGATAGTCCAATGAATTATAAAGAACAGGTACTTTTCTTTCTAATATAAAAATCTTACTCAATTTGTTTTTGTGTTGAAATTCGTCCAAAAAAACATTAAAGCCTAATTGAAATGATCTATTATTTTTTTTTTATGTAAATCAAAATATTTATCGCAAGCTAAGTGTTGTAGCTTTTCAGCTGACAATACCTTAAATTTAATATTAACAATGAAAAAATGAATAAGAAATTGTTGGATTTTATCGAGCAAGAAAACATCAACACTTATTGAAGATCTAATAAAAGAATATCAAAATGAGGTGCATTGTTGACATAAGATGAAGCACTTGTAACCATAATATTTCGAACATCAGGTTTTGGTGTTCTATGAACAAAAAAATAATAATCAAACTGCTAGTGCACTTGGTGACGGATTAAAGTGTGAAACATGATGTAGCTGCTGGTGCTAATCACAAGAAGATTGTTTTATTCAGTCTAATTTAAAAGGGATTTCTTCATCATCCTGTTACTTGATGCTTCAGAAATGCAATAAAGAAGTAATTAACTAGACGGTATTGGGGCACAGTCTTTGATCGTATATTAACATGGCCTGTCGTTGTCTCTGATAAAACAGAGAGAGGTGCAACTAAAAGAGTTCGTCATCAGGATTAGTCGGCTCGAAGATATTAACGTAACGACTTGAATGAAGATTTGTGAAAAAATCAAAATGTCCAAAACCAGATTTCTCGTATCTATGCGAAGGGTTTTGAGAAAAATTCTTATTGTATAGAGTGCAATGAGACGTTTCCGATCTCTCCATAAACTTCCTTCATCGAATTGTCTTTCGAACTCTCCGTAAATTGAAAATAGATCGATGAAGGAAGTACCTGGAGAGTTCGGTGACGTCCTATTTTGCTCTATCAAAGAAAATTTTTTTCGAAGTTCTTAATTTCAGCAGTTCTGTTGAAGTCTTCGGATCTGCTACTGCTAATAGAGAATTGTTTTAGCTACATAAATGTTTTATATTTCAACAATAGATGAATCATTTCTTACATGTTTTTATTCGATTTTGATTTATTGAACGTCGATATTGCCTTTGATCATTGATCCAAATCTTTCTCAACTTCTTCTGGCGATTCATGAAAATCAATTTCTTCCATGGATGTCATTATCTGAAGAAAGATTGTATAGAAAATATATTTTATTTTTATGTCATTTTATATTGTGATTTCAAAATAATATGATGCAATATAAAATATGAGCCATTCATTTATCGTAAAATTGCATTATTTTCTTCTTTCTATTATCAGTTCTTATTTTAGATTACATCTAATCAATACACATAGGACAAAAAAAGATAACATACTACGATCCAAAACAGTATTCTACAAGATTATTCCGAAAACTTGGTTAATCATCGAAAAGAAACAAAAAATAATAATAACATGTCAAGTTTTCTGTTTTGAGTAAAACAAAGATACTGATTTCTTTATCAGTTAATACATTCATTGTAAAAGTATAGAAATCAAATGGAAAAAACTAAAGGTAATATTCAACGAACTTACGTTCTTGAATGGATTGCATAAATAGCGAAGAATTCAAATGATGAACAGTTTTCACGAACAAATCCTAAAGAAAACAAATAGATGAATGAATTCGGAATTGAAAAAAATATTGTTAAATTCTTTTGGAAAATAGACCATATCAATCAAAACAGAGCAAACAAAAATTCAATCTGAAGCAACGATATGCTTTTCAAATGAGACGGTGTTCATTTGATGAGTAATAGAAAAGTTTAGAATAGTTTTGCTTTTCGGGCCTTCGTTGTTTTTCAACGGAAATCTGTAGTCCTACTCAGGTCACGTGAAAAATCGACTTTCAAAATTAAATTTTGCATGAACATGAGAATAATTCTTTTGGCAAATTGTAAATTTTCTATATTGATGAATCTCATTAAGAACTTTGTTTGTGCAAAGTTTGAAGTCGAAATTCTATTTTCTAGATGACCTGAGAGGAACTATATATTTTTATGCTGAAATATTCAGTAAAATTTCGATATGTGGAGAACGAAGATTCGGAACAGCCATATGTCGTCAGTCAACTTTTCATATTCTCATCTGACGATTGTTCTTCGATAGATGGGGAAAAGTTCTTGATAAGATTTTATTTAAAACTTGATCTCGTCTTTTTAATGTCTAAACTAAAAAGTAAGAAAAATTTTGATGATGTGTTGAATAATATTCAATGATGAACTTTGTTGAGGAATTACATTGAACATCTAATTATATCCTACTTTTGCAGATTGTGACAGTTCATTCTTCGAGAATAGCAAAACATTTAGAGTTCTTTTCTCGAAGAATACTAAGATTTTTCTTGAGATAAGTACCGAGTACTTTCTTGCACCAAAACTATTATACTAAATTTGGCATACAAATGGCATTGAAGAAAAACGAAAGATTCCCACAGGTACTTTATACGAATTTTTCTGATACAGGTATTTATTTCAGCATGACTTCTACTTTAAAGTGTAATAATAAAATATTCCTTCCTGTTTTGGACATTTATTAGGGAAAACAATAAATTTCGAAAATATGTGTTCATGAGTTATTTCTAATTCAAACTTTTTATAATATAAGTAGATGTTTGGAACAACTCCAGACTGAAATCGATACAAAAATTTCATTTGGCTCATTTTTTTCTTTTTCAACTCAAAACCTAACTTCATAGCATGAAGTTAGTTCTACAGAATTCCTTATGTAATTATATATTTACATAGCAGAAAAACATCATCAATTTAAACAAGTTATGAATGATGAAAATATTGATTTTGTTTAGTGAAAACATCAATTAATGCAAGCTTAATTCACCACTACATAAAGGAATAATTAGTGTCAAAGCGTCTGTATCCTACGTTATCTTGATAACTTTAGAGATGATTATTGAATTTTTCATCTATGAAATTTGTATTTGAGCTTCAATACAATTAGTTTTTGAATTACTTTAAAAGTAATTTAGTAGAAGTCACTTTTATTTTCCTTGTAGCTACGCTTATTAAACCTAACAATAATTCTTATTTAGTTTATTTTTTCTCATGATTTAATATATCACTACAGTCGAAACAACGAAAAAGAAACACCAATCAGAATATTCAGTCACTGAACTATTTCATAAGTTTTTATAAAACAAACTTAAAATATTAATTATTCAAAATGTAATCAATATCAATAGATAGACAACAAGAAAGAATAAATAATGTGTTTGAAAGTTTTGACTTGATAGTA